TTCTTCGTTCTTTTTCGAACGAATCAAAGAAAGGCTCGTTCGAGTCGTAGGCATGAAAAGGTGGGAAGGGAAGAGTGACATTATACGCTCGCGTTACATCATGACATTTTAATCCCAACTTGAATCACAAGCTAACTTTCTACTTCGCTATAAAAAGTGACTCGAAACAGACTAGACTTTATTACGGCATTTCGCTATAAAAAGTGTCGCGAGAGATCGACCAGACTCTAAAATCGTCATTTGCGTTTTGCGCTTTTTCCACATCGTCTCTCGAGTCTTTTTTTTTTTTTTATTTTACACCATTCTCCATTGTACAACACCGATCGCTTCCATCTCGATCACTCTTACTCCCGTCACATCTTCTTCTCTCACATTGTCTCCATAAATTCATCGATCACTGAAAGTTGAAAACGAAAGAAAGAAAAAGAATGGTGGGGTGGGGTGGGGGGGGGAGGGGAGAGAAAGAAATCATCCTCTCGTGTCACTTGTTACTTGAAAAACGGTACTGCTTCTCAACCAATGTGGTACCAATCTTCCATTGCAAATATTCTCATGATGATTCAGGATCGTAGAATCTTCATCCGCACTGAAACACGATTCTCTTCTCGTTTCTCAAGTAAAAAAAAACACACGGAACATGCTGAGAACAATTCGCAACGAGTGGCTCCCTCCGACGAAGAAAATTTCACGATTAATTGAACTCCTCGTGAATGATCTCCCAACTGTCCGAATGATCGATTGCACTTGAAAAGAAGCGATTTGACTTCCACGGAAGAAGAAAGTCTACGTAATTCTCGATGCAAGTGTGTTCTTTCAGTTTTGAATCTCTGCATTTAGGTGAAGCAGGTTCCCCTCTGTAAAAGAGCAACATTATCCTTGTACCATTTCGTTTCAGCGATGTTGGCGTTGAACAGCTTGTCCGTGTTGCGGCTGATGAGACAAGCTGACCGAGTGACGATATGTGATCTGATGGAAACTGGTCGGTGAACCAGCACGCCTGGAGACGTGAATGTTGCCTGTCCGCGTCGGCGATGGCGTCTCGTCGCCGAGGACGTCGATCTCGTCGTCGTCGGAGTCCACCGGCGCGTCGCTGCTCGCCCGTGATTCTCGCCCGCCGCTCAGAGAGAAATCCACTGGCCGCTCTGAAAACAATTTTATTGCAAACCAGCTCGTTACTTCTCATTGTATAGGAGAAATGGATTTAATAGTTTGTCGTATGAGTGTTTTTTCTTGTATTCTATTATTTCTTGTATTCTGAATCTCAAGTACTTGTATATTTGTACATTTTAAGATCTTTGCTAGATTTCTATGTTTCTAGATTTTTTTAACTTGTAGAGTTTAGGTCTCTATATTTTTATATTTTTAACTCTAACTTAACTCTATGTCTCTGTATATTTCTATACTTTCAGGTCTGTGAATCCCTAGGTTTTTGATATCTGTGGATTTTGCTGAATTTCTACATTTCTAGATTTGTAAACTCGTGGATTTTTAGGTTCTATATTTCTACATTTTCGATATCTGTAGATCTTTAAATTGCTAGATTTTTATATCTCTATATCTTTAAGTCTGTAAACTCTCTATATTCTTATCTACATTTTTAAGTCTATAAATCCTCAGGTCTCTATATTTTTAATATCTGTAGATCTTTAGATTGTTAGATTTCTATATTATTAGATTTTTAAACTTGTAGATTTTTCAGGTTCCTTAGAATTTTATATTTCTATATTTTCAAATCTGTAAATTCCTAGGTCTCTAAATCTATATATTCTTACATTTATAGATCCTTGGATCTCCATATTTTTGATATCTTTATATTTCTACATCACTAACTCTCTACATTTCCAGGTTTCTATATTTATAGATTTATAGGTTTCTGGATTTCTAGATTTTTGCAACCTCTAAGTTTCTAAGTTTGTACATTTCTACTGATCTTTAGGATCTTATATTC